ACACACACACACACACACACACACACACACACACACAAATATAAAAAATGATGTGGCTTTTGGATTCAAGAGTTCTCCTGATGGCAATATGGGTCTTCTCTGATGCCCAGCATGGCCACTTGGTCTGATCACTGCAACTCAGTATTGTATGAAGTGTGCATCTTGTTCACCTAGAGCTAAATTCATACAACCATTAAGCTTATTTTATAAGATAGCACATGTTAGTCTGCACTAGCTGTTTCCTTCCCCCCCCCCGAGTGCAAGTGCTAATAACCTTGTTGTGTAGTTCAGCAGTGTGTTTATGTCTCAAAGAAAACAGTCTTTGAAACTCTCTGCCTCTGCAAAGATGCAAGAATATTAACATCGATAACAAATGAAGACTAATATTCAGGATACACTCTCTGGGGAAAGTGAGGAAATGCTGAATAGAACTGTCCTCATTGAAGTGTGTTTGGACCACTTTGGCAAGATGGGCAAATAGCAATTGCTCAGATTTCAGTGTGTCAGGATTTGTAGACTGGTTCAGGCCCACTGTGGACACACACTTTCTCAGAGAACTTCAAACCATCCTTTTAAATGTTTCTATTTACTAGCTATATTTCTTTTATTATGACTATGATACCTGTGTTAAGAAATGGTCACAAAATTGTGTTGGAACTTAAGCCCTTCCAGGACTTGAGCCCGCTATAAATAGCACAGAAGGAAACACTTGCTGTTTTCTAACCAATGTTAACGTGTAAGAGAAAAAATTACCAAGGGACCATGAGCCCCAACTTGAACATGACTTCTGAAAGTCCGATATGTGCCAACTGTTAAAAAGAGTTCACGCCTATCAATATATAAATGAAGTGTAATCTGCTTAATTGACTGAAATGATCTAGCTCTTGCCATGATCTGCAACCTTGCCCTTCCTGATTCCTCTTAGCCTCTGGCAGTGGTGGTGTTCCTATGTTCAGCTTTCTTCCTCAGGTGTTCGGTGGAGCTTCCTGGTATTACCTGTGATGGGAGCAGCGGGGCTCAAAGGTGTTGCTTTCCTCTAGCACATACCACTTAGCACACTGCTCACTTGTACACCTTTTCTTAAGCCTCACCTACACGGTGCATGAACAGTGGACTGTTTTCCATGTTGCAGAATTTCTGTGATGAAAACATGAGATTAACCCTGGCAAGGTACATAGTTCATGAAAACTCCATCAACCTGGCCTCTGCACTGGACCTCTCAAACTTGGGCCTGTAGCCTCTCCTTTGCAGCTTTGGTTCCATAGCACCACTCTGACAAACTTCATAGACAGCCAACTGAAAGTCAATAGAACCTCAGCACTGATTATCGTTAATGTTATAGAGACTACCCAGATAGTATGATAGTAGCCAGTATGGGGTTTTTTTTGTCGAAGTTTATTGACATAAAAATTAACCAAAACCCTTTTCTCCGTGACAGGCCCAGTTCTGGTGATGATTTCACTTCTAACAGAAGTTATTCCTCAAATGAAAGTACGCAATAGAACAGATCTCAGTAGTAGTTTATTTTTCTAACTGAACTGAAATTTCTTATTAATGCTCCTAATTTCCCAATTATGTAGTTACTGCAGGGTAAATATGGTTCCAGAGGCTAGGTCAAATAACTTCCTTGGGTTCTGTGTAACGATTATCAGCCTCTTTGAGTGAAGTGTGTCTGTTCTGTGGGCTCCACAACACAAGAGCACACAAAGCCATCTCCTTTTAAAATCTACTTGAGAATGTTGATCTCCTCTTCTGTTTAAGATTCTGATTTCCTCTCTCCGAATCAGACTTATCCATGTGTGGGAATCTACACAAGACGTGGGAATCTATCCCAAGACTTTAGTTAATACAGTATTTTCACTTTTATCCTAAGTAGAAGAATGTATGTAATTATGGGGTTTATCAGGAAACATTTGGCAAAAAAGGAAAGAAAAGAATGTTAACTATATAGGTAGTTTTTATTAGATAGCTATATAGGGATAGTAATAGGGATATTTTAGAGGACTAATTTCAAAATTACACACCTGCAGAAATTTTCATTATTCTACCTGCCATGAGGTGTGATATTAGAAACCAAAAAGCATGGATGGAGAGTTACTGAAGGGATAGGTGAGTGTGTAAAATATTGCCGTATCTCTATTGTAAAAGATAGCCCTCGTTGCAGGGTGTAGCCATTTCAGAGGGTCAAGATGGAAATAACACACACCATCCACATAGCTACTGTGAAAATTGTAGTACAGAGATATCCTTTATTTTGACACAGTTGGGCATTTTTTTTAGGCTATGAGTATAACTTTAACTAATAAGTGATGTTCACATAAAGTTCTTAAAGCCTTCTAATTTCTTAATGGATACCTTCACCATCATAAATGGAACTGTCTCAAGGCCATGAGGTTGATAGACTGTCTTAGTAGCTCCCAGGATCCTGCTACTCCTTAAAAGAACACAATGCCCATTCACTCCATTAAAATACAGAAGGCAGACAGCATGGAGCAGTGCCTGAAAAAAATAGGAGATGACTGAGGAAAAGCTCAGCATTGCCTGCTAGGAGGATGCAACTGCTCTAGTAGTAATAATAATAACAATAATAATAATAATAAACCAAGATCCACTGTCATAACAAAGACCTTCATTGTACTGAACTAAAAAGTAGCATGTATGTTGTCATGGAATGTCACATCAGGGCTTGCTTTAGTATTAGATTATAGGCAGTAACACTGATCATATAGTGCAAACTAGGGAAAACTGCGTTTCACTGTGTGAAATGAACAGAGGTGCAAATGCTCAGTAGGATACCATTAAGACATAAAATGGCAAAAAATAAATATCAAAACTTTTATCAGTGTAAAAAAGTAACTGGGTTATTGTATAACCTAGAGTCTGGCAAAAAAGGCCTCAAAAAAGTTCTCAGTCTTCAGAAGTTTTACAAATTAAGTGCCCTTTCAGGATTCCAATCACACCAGAGATTCCATGCTCTCGGCAGGATCTGATTCATCTGCAATGAGAACAGCACCATTTTTGTCCACTGTCATGGGACCATTTCCATTTTCTTTAGTGCTGACCAAGCTGAGCATTGCTTTATAGACAAACTGGTATTGTTCCTGAAAAACAAGAGGAAGTCCATTTGAGACAAAGAACAGCTGAGTCATTTCATCTAAGGTAGCAAGACCAATTAAAAATGTAATTGTAAAAAACGAGAACATACATTTATGCTAAGAAACTTCAAAAAGGTGACTTGGAGCCTTTATAATCAAGACCTATGCATTCTGCATGTCACCTGGATCGTTGTTAGTTTGGAACTAATTCTGTTGACAGTGAATTAAGATCACAGAATATCTGTATGTTGTAACTGGAGAATATCATACTCTAGAAAACCGAGTTTCTCCATGTCATCACTACTGCCATTTTGAGGCAGATAATTCTTTGTTGTAGAGATCTGTCTGATGCATTGCAAGATGTTTAACAGCATCTCTGGGTAGGTTCCAATGAGTACTTTCCTCCATCCCCAGTTGTGACAACCAGAAAGTCTCTAGATATTGCTGAACATCCCCTGGGGGGCAAAACCATCCCCAGGTGACAACCAGTGTTCTAATTCAAGTGTGAGCAGGAGTTTCAGCTGATGACAGAGAACAGCTTTCACAAAGAAACAAAGTACTTACAATGTCTGTGAATACTCCAGGCCTCATAAGATTAATCATTTTTGCAACCTGGAAAACATCCACAGCATTTTCATTCTCCAGTTGCTGGGACAGGGTGGTAAGGGCACACAACATTCCTGCTGAAACTGCTCCATACCTTGGAGAGGAGAAAAAAAGGATGCTATTTCAGATTTTCTAAGGAATTGAATTTTTGAAATGAAATGAATGTCCTGTATTTGCATAGAAGCTAAGTAGACTGCACTGACCACTCTTCTTGAAGTGAATGCAATGCTGGTGGTGGGGAGATGCAGAGGCTATAGCATAAAGGTGACATTTGTTCATGAATGTGAAATCTCCCAAGCTGGCTTATCAGATGCTCAGCTTTATATCCCAGATGAAATGAGAGGTTCAACATTAGACTGGGGATGGCCATAGGAGACATAATGTTGGGGACGAGGTGGGGGACATAACAGGAAAAAGAACATAAGGAACCCAACTACAGAGTCCTGGACAAGTAGAGGTGGTGAAAGGATCTGGAAAAAAAAAAAAAATTTTTTTTTTTTTTAACCGTCCCAAACAGCTAAATTGAACTTCCAGAATGTGACTTGAAATGGGACTATATGGCTCAAAGCGCAGTCCGAAAATTTTCAAAATGAATTTCATAGTAGGTAATTATTTTTGGCACTGAAGTGTAACTTAGTAAGAGTACCTTCGATAAGTCTTGGAAAAATATGGCACACTCTCAACACACACACACACACGCACACACACTTAGAAGGGTAGACTTGCTCATCAGGCTAGATTGGCAACCTCATTTTTTCCAGGAACCTGTGGTGGTATATCAATGATAAGAAAACAGAGGATTAAATGAATTGTTCCAGGTGGTGATGTTGGTAGAAATGAAACTAGAACTTTATGCCCTGTGCTCACTATTCTGTTAAAAACTATTAAATGTGCAGTTTGAGGTGATTATTGTTATATAAAATTAAACCATTACAGATGTTGTACATCTTTTAATACAAAAAGACCAGAGTCCCCAGCGTGAGAGGTAACCTATCTAGAGGTAAAACTTGTTATACATTTGGGTCCAGCCACCCAGAGTTCAGTGTATCAGTACATTCCAGTCCAGCTCATGACTTCATGTGCTGTATGCATATTGGATGTACTCTTTCCTGTAGATGGGCATTTCCATTGTTTGTATCTTGTGCCCACTAGCAGAAGTGAGTAGGAGAATTAGGTCACAGGTATGCCCATCTTTAGTTTTAAAGATACTGCAGTATTTCTCTCCTAGTGGTTGTTACCTGTTTATACCTTTCCCAGCAGGAGAATACTTGCTTTTCCTCATCATTTTATTTTTTTAAAGATTTATTTATTTGAGAGAGAGACAGAAGGGTAGAGGGAGAAGCAGACTCCCCACTGAGCAGGGAGCCTGATGTGGGGCTCGATCCCCGGACCCCAAGATCATGACCTAAGCTGAAGGCAGACGCTTAATGGACTGAGCCACCCAGGTGCCCCTCTCCTCATCATTTTAAAGTTGACACGCTTTCTGCTAATCTGATGGGAGAAAAATTGTATCTAATGTTTTAATTTGCATTTTCTCTATTACCAGGGAGGTGGAGAATCTTCTGGGTTTATGGCCCATCAGTAGTTCCTCTTCTGAAATTGTTTAATAATATACTTTGGCCATTTTTCTTAGCTTTGTCTCTTTTATTTGTAGGATGGGTGGTAATTATTTTTTCCAGTCTTTCTCTTAACATTGTTTGTAGGCGGTTTTGTTAAACTGAAGTATAGTTTACACATAATCAAATTGATCAGTCTTTTATTTTTGGCTTAATTGGAATCCTGAGAATGCTTTTTCTAACTCAGCATTTTAAAAATATTCTACATTTTTCTATTTTTATTTTTTATTTCATTGTTTAATTCATCTGAGTCTTATTTCGATGTAATTAAAGGTCTGATTTTAGTTATTTTTCCCATGGATAACTACTTTTTTAATTTTTAAATTTTTTTTAAAAGATTTTATTTATTTATTTGACAGAGAGATAGAGAGCACAAGTAGGCAGAGAGGCAGACAGAGGGAGAGGGAGAAGCAGGCCCCTCGCTGAGCAGGGAGCCGGACGCGGGGCTTGATCCCAGGACCCCAGGATCATGACATGAGCCGAAAGCAGCCGCTTAACCGACTGAGCCACCCAGGCGCCCCGGATAACTCCTTTTTTTTTAATTGAGTAGTCTCATCTTTTCTCATTGATTTGAGCTTCCTTCGTATCATATACTAAATCCTCATATATGCAGGCTTGTTTCTGAACTCTCTGGCCCTTCAATTTGTTTTTATGTATTTCCCCATATTTAATTCCCGTAAGGTTTTGATAACTTGACATCTGAAAAAGCAAGTTTCTACAGTAGTCTTGGCTGTCTCTACATTCCTTGTTTCATTTTTCTTTTGTGCTTCAAACATATTTTCATTTTCACTTGTATACTCATTTCCAAATACCCCATCCCTCTATCCCTTCGCATCCTGTTTCATATTAATTTTGAAACTGGACTGTCAAATACGAGTTTTGTTGTGATTTTGGTGAGCTTGTGCCGAATATATATATATATATATATTCATACATACATATTCATACATATATATATATTGGTCTGAGGAAAATAACATCTTTTTGAGTTTTTCTGTTCATGAACATGACGTCTTTTCTCCCTTTGTTTGGGTCTTTTGTAGTTTTCACTTATATTTTGTAGTTTTCTTCATTGTCTTTGCCACTTTCATTTTAGGGTAATTTCTAGGTGTTTTGAGTTTGTTACTCCTAAGAATGGCCTCTCTTTATGACATTTTGCTTGGTTTTAGTTGATATATAGGAAAGTTACTGATTTTCACATGGTGAACTTGCATCCAGCCACGCAGTTAAGTTCCTAGTAATTGGTGGATTCTCTAGGAAGTTGGCTACATTTTATCTACCAGCAATATCAGTTTTGTCTCTTTTCAACTTTTATACTTTTTACATCTTTTGCTTTTATTGCATTGGCTAGAACCTAATAGCTCTGCATTCTAACCGGTATTTGTAAGGAGGTATCATTGTTTTCTTTAATGGTAAAGCTACTAAGTTTTTAGTATTAAATAAAAATGTTTGCTGTAGGCTTCCAATAAATAAATTTTATCAAGTTCAGGAAGAGGCTTTTGACTTTCAGTTTCCTAAGAGTGTTTTTTTGGAGGGGGAGGGAGATCAGGAGTGAGTGTGATTTTATTCTGCACTCTCCAACATCTATTGGCTTTTTTAGAAATTCCTTTGATAATGTCCTGCATTCACTTGAGAGAACAGTGCTAACGTTTAACCACCTCTATAAGCCTTAGGGCAGATCTTACTTTTTCATGATACAAAATTCTTTGAACCCAATACACTTGATTTTATTTGACAGTATTTTATTACTTAGATTTTTACATCCATAATCAAATAAGTAAGATTGGCCTAAACTTTTCCATTCTGGTGGTAGCCTTTTTTTTTTTTTTTTTTAACCATGGTTACATTAAATTTCCTGTGTTACTGTTCAAGGGTAGCCTGGTGAGGACTTGGTGGACCTTAACAGTTTGGGAACTCACTTGTGTATTCAGTTCTTCAACATTTATGAGTATAAAGAATTTCAAGTGTTTATTTCCTTTAAAATATTTCTATTTTTAACCTTTTATTTTTAGAAAACATCAAACATACACCCAAGCACAGTCGCCTTCCTGCAGCTATTACTCAGTTTCAGTTGTCATGGGCTCATGGCCAAACTTGTTTCACATCTACTTCTTCTCCCATATACTTTGAAGCATATCCCAAATATTTTATTCATTAGTATTTTTGTATAAGAATTAAAAGATAAGGATTTTTAAAAGTGTGTAAACATTGTCACACCTAAGCAAATTAACAGTTATCAAATGGTTTTTATGTAACTACAGATCAATGGTAGATCTTTTCCTTCCCAATGTTATTTTATGCCTTCCCTAATTTTTTCTCCACCATTTTCCAAAATTTTATCTTTTATGAGACTATTCATCCCTTTATTCAGTTCTTAGAAAATCTCAGCCATTATCTCTTCTTCTTCCTCTCTTTTCTCCACGTGGATCACCTCTCAGACATATGTTAGAACTTACCTAGCTTCTGTAATGGAGTTCTATCTCACTTCTGTCTGTTCTACCACTACTAACGAGCCCATCTTGTTTTAGACTCTTAGACTCTCCATTTGTTTCTGTCAGTAATACATCCTTCTGATTAAGGTCGTAGTCTTCGGTTAGATCTCAGGGCATATAGTTTTAAATTCTCTTAATACTGCTCTAGTAACTGAATCACTTTTTTGTTGTTCTTGATTTGATGGCTTTCCTCACATTCTAAATTGTACAAGTATACCTTCTCATTTTAGCATAACTTTATTTTTTTAGTAGGATAAAATCTAACCTTTGCTTTACTCTGTTCTAGTGAAACTGTTAAGACTCAGGACCCTCCCCCCCCCCCCGCCCAGTTTATCTTTTTCTTAGAGCTATCTATAGCCATTCAGAAAAGTCAGGTATTACATATTTTATTATTTTATTATATAGTGTGTAAGCTCTGTAGGATTACTCTGGCCTTTCCTAGGATTGCCTTTCCTAGATTTTTGCCACTCTCAAATAAGTACCTAAATTAAAAGGAAGTACCTACACAGTAAGATTTCAAACATGACTGGAAACTAAGTCAAATTGGTCAAATATACAGATAATTTAAGTATCTTCTACATTCCAAGCATTATAATGAAAGGATTAAGCCTGAAAAAATGAAGGCCATTGTCAGAAGTTTGGCAATTAAGTAGGATTAAAGGATGTTTATCAAGTTTCATGGATTTGCACTTCAAACTACAAGGACTTGGTGAAAAAGTGATACAAGTAATTTATAACCTAGATAAAACAAGAATAGTGTATAAAGAAATTGGCTTCGGTAGTTGGCCTTTTTCAAAGAGCCCATTGAGAGCATTGTTTATTTAGTGCCGTTAAGAAAGAGCCAATCCCTGGTCTATTCACATTGGTACTGGGGTGACCTCTCACCCAAGGGATAGCTGCTAAAGGAAGTAATTCAGAGACATGGAGCTTCTGGTTTGTTATGGATTTGTTTTCCATTTGTTTTATTGTTGTTGTTTTTTTTTCCT